ANGTTTGATATATGAGAATGCATGAGTTTAGTTATCCTACTACGAACTTGAGTTTTGCTGTTTTAATTGATTTACGTGTGTTAGTTGATAGTTGTTTAATCTTTGTTGGCTGAAGTTATGTCGATTCTAGCGTTAATTTCTGTTTTTTTACGAATTTTGACGATATCCTGATAGAGTGAAATTTTGTTGCGTTTAATCTAAAAAAATTCATGCAAAAAACAGAGGATATAGTTGTTTAATACATACTGTTTTGCTGTTTAACCTCTAGATCTTTTTAATTTCTGTTCGCTGAAAAGTGATTTTGTATCCTTTAATACATACTGGTGAGATTTTGTAGCGTTTAATCTAAAAAATTCATACGAAAAACAACGGATATCGTTGTTTAATACATACTGTTTTGCTTTTTACTCACTAAATCTATTTAATTTCTGTTCGCTGAAAAGTGATTTTGTATCTTTTAATACATACTGTTGAATTTTTTTACAATTAATCTTCGTGATTATTGTTGTTTTTTGGCTCCGCGTTTAAGTTTAGTTGTCCACTTAATCTGAAAATGATTTTGCATAATGGATTTTAATTGTCGAACGCGAGTGTTATCCATTTTTCTGAAAATGATTTTGCATAATGGATTTTAATTGTCGAACGCGAGTGTTATCCATTTTTTACAATTTATTTAATACTTGTTTAGTTTCGCGTTAATACAAATCCTGTTGATTTTTACAAGATATTTAATATTTGTTTAGTTACGCGTTAATACAATTCCTGTGTTAGGGCAGCCGCAACGCCTGTTCATTTCCTCTATTTAAACGCTGAAAAAATGTTCAATGCATTGTGACCATTCAGTTAATGCGTGGGGCCCAGGATTATGTTCAAGAGGTTGAACGCGTTCATCAGGCTTGTTTTTCTTTTTTTTTTGTTTTAAATTAGTTTCTTAACTATACTATTTTATTCTTTTACAGATTTAAAATTTATATTAAATGAGTGGATAATGTGGGTCCCATATATGTATTTAAATGAATGTGTAGGAATGTGGGTGTATGTTTAAATGGATAGAGATTAAGTGGAAATATGATGTAGAGATGATGTGAATGAGAGAGAGTGTTACTTTTTGATTGAACGAATGATTTGTGTGTTAAATGGATAGAGATTTGTGTGTTAGGGCATTCACATCCCTTAACACACAAATCATTCGTTCAATCAAAAAGTAACACTCTCTCTCATCCACATCATCTCCACATCATATTTCCACTTAATCTCTATCCATTTAAACACACACTCACATTCCTACACATTCATTTAAATACATATATGAGACCCACATTATCCACTCATTTAATTTAAATTTTAAATCTATAAAAGAATAAAATAATATAGTTAAGAAATTAATTTAAAAGACAAAAAAAAAAACAAGCCTGATGAACGCGTTCAACCTCTTGAACATAATCTTGGGCCCCACGCATTAACTGAATGGTCACAATGCATTGAACATTTATTCAGCGTTTAAATGGAGGAAATGAACAGGCGTTGCGGCTGCCCTAACACAGGAATTGTATTAACGCGTAACTAAACAAATATTAAATATCTTGTAAAAATCAACAGGATTTGTATTAACGCGGAACTAAACAAGTATTAAATAAATTGTAAAAAATGGATAACACTCGCGTTCGACAATTAAAATCCATTATGCAAAATCATTTTCAGATTAAGTGGACAACTAAACTTAAACGCCGAGCCAAAAAACAACAATAATCACGAAGATTAATTGTAAAAAAATTCAACAATATGTATTAAAGGATACAAAATCACTTTTAAGCGAACAGAAATTAAATAGATTTTGTGAGTAAAAAACAAAACAATATGTATTAAACAACGATATCCGCTGTTTTTCGTATGAATTTTTTAGATTAAACGCTACAAATCTCACCAGTATGTATTAAAGGATACAAAATCACTTTTCAGCGAACATAAATTAAAGTACTCACTCGATATTGACAGTGGGATTATAAAGAACAGACAGAGTAACCTGTATTCGGTTATCATCCTCTGCAAGTTTCCTTGAGCATCCTTGACATGTGCCACATATTCAACCTTACTTGTAGCAAA